GTAGGGAAAGGATTTTAGCTGATTCTCGCCTTCTGCAGAAGACCTGTGATTCCCCCCCAAGCTATTCCTAGGGGGCGCCATCCCCCAAGAGTAGCATTTCAGAGGGTATTTTGGTAGTGGAGAAGTATTTTCTGTCTGCAGATTGGAAATGCTTCTGTCTGCAGAAATTTTAGCAGAGATTCAAGCGATTATATATACTTTAGTCTAATACTTGTAGGTCAACTTAACTGAAGCAAGCCATGGGGGTGACACTACTGTCAAATCGTACCCTCAAGTTTTGGAGAATCTTTGAGATGCTTTTACACTGCCAGATAACTAGTCAGGTTCACTGGGCATGGCTCCCATTGTGTCAGTAACTGAGTCCAAAGAGTTTTTATACACAGAACCATCCACAATGTGAGTAATTTAGAGCTATTTGGGTCTAATTATCTAAAACACACATACAGCTCTCTCTCAGAGCACACACCCCCCCCAAAATAATCATTTAAAGTAGGGACATGTATTGTCTGGATTGTGTGAGTGTGCTCTGGCGGGGAGGGTGGGGTATAAATTGAATTAATTAATGAATGAATAAAAAAATAAATAAATCTTGTAGTATAAAAGCGCTTTTAGAATATTGTGTCTCAATTAAATAAATTTAAATAAGGAACTACTGTGCATGCTGAATGCTTTTAGACGTCTGAAATAATGTTTCTGGCTGCTGCTATGCACAAGTATTTGAAAGTAAATCCCAGCATATTTCCATGCAAGTTATAAGCAAATTTTAAATAATGCTGGTTCGATTGTACTTCCATTTTATTGCTCTCTTGGAATGTTTTCTTCAGGCAAGCTGAATGTTTTGCTAGATAAACATGCTGAAAGTATGGAGTGTGCAGTAATTAAGTTTCTCAAATGTTTAATTTTCAGTGTTACAACATCAGGCCAGGATCATACACAAGCACCAAAGGATGGAAGAGCACTAAGCGTTGCTAGTGAAAAGTCTGAATGTTCTACTGCAGGGTCTGAGGATCATGAAAGGCCATACCTTCATACCCCAACATCTAGTGAGAGGACTGATTCGCCCATTGTGCAGGAACCAGAGGACCATCACTTCCATCAAGAAGATCCATATCCTAGAAAAACTAGCCTAGTGATTGTGGAATCAACTGATGAACACTCAGAAAGATATGAGGAAGAGTTATTGGAAAAGGTAAGAATGCACCATTAGCTCAATATAGTTACTATTGAACTTTTAGAGAATTTACTATTGGGAGGAATAGTATTTGATACAATCTTGCTCATAATACCTGGATAATAAATAGCAGTGATTCTTGCACATGGCAGTTTTGAAGAGTAGCACTCTTAGGAAACAGGAAGACCCAACTGTGATAGGCCATTTCTATCAACCACACAGCCTCCTATGATTTTGGGGGAACCAGGTTTATTTTAAACTATAAACCTTCCCCTTAGTTACTAGGTGTTCCAAAGGTAGCAAATGTATAGGCTTTGGATTCACTGCTGTGAGGTAAGTTGTGTGGTACACAAATAGAATGTGGAGGTTACTGAGACAGGAATTGTATATTAACCACAAAGAAGATTTATTTATTTATAAATTGCTTTCCAGGAACAGATCAGCAGCACGGGACTCCAGATAGACAAAATAGAAGCCTGGCTGAGACACATTAATTTAAAGAGTAGTTTCAATTTTCTTCAGTACTTTCAAGCATAAACAGGTTTTCACCGATTAGCCACTAGGCTGGATCCTAACACACCCGGGATCCCACCCACACCAGTCTGCCCTTTTCTAAGAGTCAGACTAAATGGCCAAGGTTTGCTCATTGCCAGAGACAGGCCTAACACTTTTGTACTCAATTCTCTGTTAGAAGTAGAGCCAAACCACTCTGCCACACTACCCAACAGAGCTATCCTTCACTCTCTCTGCTGGTTTTCTGAGCCAGACCTGAGCTCTCACTGCCCTCTCCCTGACGCAGAACTTCGTTCAGCTCCTGCTGTGCTTCCCTCCAACATTCCATCCCCCTTTTCAAAGGTGTTTGGATGCTGGATTAGCGTTCCGATAGGCTTAAGTGAGTAGCTGTTTTCCCCTTCAGGGGCGGGACAGCATTCTGTCTGTCACACTAACAGGAGATGGATTGACTCAATGGAAGCCACAGCCCTCAGTTCACAAGGCTGTTAATAATGGGAGGTTTTGAAGGTCATGAGAAGGGACTTGATGGCACTCAACACACACACAGGATTTACCCTTATAAAAATAAAATTTAAATACATGAAAACTACATCCATGGGATAACAAGAAGAAAAGTTACAGAAACGTAACTGGGAAGTGGCTTTCAGCTTTCAGCTCACTGAGGACGGAGGGCCCCAATATGAAATTTTCCAAATGAGTTTGGGGAAGAGAAAACTTTGTCAAAGAGAACCTTTAAAAATGGCATGGTATTAAATTAATCAAGGCTCAGGGCTTCACAGATATTCTTTTTCAAATATAGAAATGATCTCTTTGTAAGAAGAAAAATAAGTATGGTGCCATATGAGAAACTGGGCCACATCTTTGTTTTACAATGAAGTTACCACTTGGGTATCTAATATATGCCCACAGATTTCTGTAGCAAAAACAAACAAAAATTGTTCCTGACTTTGTTTATCTCAGTTTCCATGTTTTTGATTTTGTTTTTCTCACAAAATAGGTCATTGGAGCGAATTATAGCTCTGCTATGTTAGGACAGAGAGTGAGTTCTGGTTTGTGAAGGAAATGACTATGCTGAAGGAAGCAAAATATCTTTATCCCATGAGACTTGTGACTGGTAATTTCTCCTAGGTTGAATTTGGTTTGGGTCCAACAGTTGCAACAAAATGTAGAAAATATCAGGGGGAAAATTGTTTTCTCCCCGAGATTTCTAAATTACCCCAGTCCATGAACTCCTACACACCTTACCTGGTGACTGTTGCTAGTGTATTGGTTTCTGTCTCAGTGCCTCTCTTTCTCTCACTTCCTTCTCCACAGCTGTCATTTCACTGTATCTGTCCAGCTCCCCTAAACAGAGTTATCCCTGTCTAAGTACGCTGAAGCAAATAAGCTTAGAAGGCTGCAACTTTGTTTAGGGTTGCACTGCCATTTCCTAGCAGGAAAAACATCTGTGAATGTCATGGAGGAGCTGCTCTCAGTAAAGGTTAACAGTATCATCTCAGTACAAGAAAGCTCTTTATACATTTGTATAATTGTTAGCCACCCTGAGCCTTCGGGGAGGGCATTGTTAGCCACCCTGAACCTTCGGGGAGGGCGGGATATAAATCCAAAACTAAATAAATAAAAATACATTTTTCTCTCTGTCTAATATGCACATTTCTGTCACTACAAGACTTGATGCTTGTTAGGAATTATCCATTGGCTCAAAAATGTAACCGTGTCATGAAAATTTAGCAGGTATTCATTAGACAGGATTTAGGAAGCAAAGTTTATGGATAACGGGAAAGTTTTTGACTAGTTTATTCAAATGCATTGACCAGTGAGGGAAATTGAATAAGGTCCCAGTAGGCCAGGATGCCCTTACAGATTCAGGGGCAGTAACAGCATCTCATGACCTGCCCAACACAACGAGCAATAAACCTTTGTCTGGTATCAATTAAAACTACTGCTTCGGTGGGTGTTGATGTGGTTGTCACTGTGCTCATAGAAAAGGAACCAAGCGCTTTTCATTCACGCATGCAACATCAATGTGATAAGAGCAATGCTTCCATGCTTCCACTAGGAGGTAGCAGAGGAATTAGGTGAGCTGGAGCCCAGCTCAGATGAGGAAGAGATGGTAACAACCAGGGTCGTCCGCCGCCGGGTGATTATCCAGGTACAGGAGTGTTGAACTACTGCACGTGCCAGTGGCAGTTATGTCCTGGTTACATCTCTAGGAACCCACCCTTCCCCCAAAAGGACTGCTCCGGAAGCAACCCCTTGGCTTGGATTGCATTGATAGATTTAGCATGTTCCTGCATGGTCACTGAATAACCTTGATAACTTTTTCTCTTTGATTTGGGGGTGAAAGGGAGGAGAGAGATGCAATTGGTTTGTTATCTAATGTGCATTTTGAAGAAGAATGTCCTGTTGGGCATTGAGAGAGCAAACCCTTTGATTTGTTGCTTCAATATCACTTACCTATCAGACCAAAACCTTCCTGTTTGTCTTTTGGTTCAAGGTTTTTTTGCATGCTTTTCATTGATTGATTTGCAGAACTTCTAACTGAGTGTAATTCTGCTTCGGTACTTCCTAATCCTTTTTTATTTTATTCTTGCTTTAATAAGTTAACAAGGTCTGTTGAAAGCCATGTCCTTCAGTCATGGACTTTTTTTATGTCTGACAGGCTGATGATATGCCTGAAATGCCACCAGAAGCTGTAACAGAGGAGCAGTATACAGATGAACATGGTCATATTGTAGTGAAAAAGGTACTGTCTGGCCTTATTATGTGGCTATCTTGAAGGGGAAAGTATAAAGAGCACTTTTCTAAGTGTACACTAAAGCTACGCTGTTGGCCCATTTCACAAGTTAAAAGTGTTAAACCAGCTGGAGTGCTACTGAATGATTCTCCATCATCTACTTCTGCATATTCTAGATTAAAACAGTAACAAGAAAGCATCTCCAGTGAGAACTGAGCATGTTGGCATTTTTCGTGCCAATCCAGATCAGTTTGACCCAAGCTGCAGCCTAACATGCTAGTTCAAACCTGGTCCTCCCACTGTACTGGCACATCTGCCTTGCTTTGTGGCTGATGTGGCAGAAACGGTAGCATCTGTGGCTATGATGACCAGCGCAGCAATATTTCTCTGCAGGCCCAGGGAAGCTACAGTTATAAGTCCTTTTCTTCCTTTTATCTGATTAAACCTCTTCTGATCAAATATCTTGAGCAGTCGTCAAGTATAAGTCGGATGTAGGTTGCCACCATAGGTGCCCTGCAGAGTGAGCCACCGTGGGGTTGCTCCCCAGCCGTGCTTTGTGGGAGGGGAAACTTACAACAGGATCGACAGAAAAGGTCTGTCATGAGGCATCTTAGGGGGCTTTATGTGGCACCCTAGTAAGCTGCATCAATCTTGATATGCTGGGGGGGGGATTACATATGGTTGGGGAGGGGGGTCTCTTCTGTTTTGCAGTTTCCTGCTGGCTTCTTTCTTACAAATCTGCTCCGCAAATTCCTGTGGAGTTACGTGTTTTCCCTTTATTTTGTACATATGGTACATTCTTCTAAGAGAACAACTTCACAGCACTTTTAAGGAACAGAACCAATGGGTTTGATCCCACAGAACTGTCCTGATAACGATGGTGTCATCCTTTGCTACAAGGCACATTTTACTGGTGCAAGAAGCTTTTCCAGTAGTAGAAAAGCCTCTTAAATTGACAAAGGTACCTTGTAGCAACCTAGCCATTCGAAAGCAAGAAATTGCAAGTAGATAAATAGGTACCACTTCGGTGGGAAGGTAACAGCATTCCGTGCACCTTGGTGTTTAGTCATGCCAGCCACATGACCACGGAAACGTCTTCGGACAGCGCTGGCTCTTCGGCTTTGAAACGGATTCGACTGGCAAGGGAACCTTTACCTTTACCTTTACCTTGTAGCAAAGGAAGGCACCACCATTATCAAAACAAATTGTGCCTTGTGCTGGAGGGAGGTCCAACTACTAGCAGAACAGATCCATGGGAAGTGATCTCTGTGTATCTTTTTATAATAATATGATGATGGTTTATTATTTATCCTTTTAAAAATTCCTTGCTTCTGGGTTTACAAGGTGGCTTACAGAGAAATAAAAAGCTAATATAGATTTAAAACCAAACTGAAGAAAACCCTTCAGTTAAAAATTAAAAACCTGGGTGAAAAGAACTGTTTTAGCTGGCTCCTAAAAATAGGCTGCTTAGGGGCCAGGAGAGTCTCTTCATTCAAGCGTTTCTCTAGGGGGGGGCCACCACAGAAAAGACCCCTCCCTTGCAGCCACCCTCTGTATGGTGGCACACAGAAACAGACCTGAAAGGCAGGGGAATGTGGATGAAGGCTGTCCTTTAGGTATCCTGGTGCCAGACCATATAGAGCTTTAAATAAGGAGCACCTAGAACTGGGCTGGAAGCAAATAGGTAGGTGGCTAATTAAGTTATTCCAGGGTTGGCATGATGTTTTCTCTGCAGCCAGCCTGGATAATAATCTGGTTGCATCATTTCATATCATTTGGTGCTTCTGAACCATTTTCAAGGGCAGCCCCACTTACAGCACACTGCAGTTATCTAGTCTGGATATGATCAAAGCATGGATAGCGACAGCTAAATTATGGTGGCTGAGGAAAGGCCACCACTGGCACATCACCCTAAGTTTATAAGCTTGAAAAGCAGAATATAAATCTAAGAAAGAATTAAGCGGGGCAAAGGCAGTACATATTACTGAAATGATCAGTGCTTTCCTTTGTAACTCTGGATCTAAAAGTCCCACCAAGTTAGAGCCGCTGACTACCTGGAGGGGAAAAATGTCCTTTAATTGAGGCTTAATGGGATGCTATTTACCACGGTATTTCCTGCTTCCTGTAATAACATATGATGAGGCATCACTCCCCCCAGACTGCAAAAGGTTCAACATCTTAACTACTCAGACTAGAGTCACTAGACAACTTGCAAGTCAGTTATACAGGATATATATACAACAAAGCAGGTGGGGGTATAACTTCACATACCTTTTTGCCAGTTTCTACCAAACCCACTGGACTTGCCAGAGGAACAGAGCTCTTTGGCATTGCTGCCCTGATTGTGGGAACAGGAGGGCTTAGAAGCTCCTCCTCCTGGACCATTCCAGAAGCCTAAGCAATCACTCCTCCGTGGAAGGGGGAGCCACCTCACCTGAGTGTCCCTCAGCCTTGCTGTTGGCTCCCTAGAAAACAGAGTGAACTTGTATCAGCCACCTGATGCCATGCTGAAGAGCCAGTTTGGTGTAGTGGTTAAGCGTGCGGACTCTAATCTAGGAGAACCGGGTTTGATTCCCCACTCCTCCACTAGCACCTGGCTGGATGGCCTTGGGCAAGCTGTAGCTCTAATAAGAGCTGTCCTTGAAAAAGAGCAGTTTCTGTCAGAGCTCTCTCAGCCCCACCTACCTCACAGGGTGTCTGTTGTGGGGAGGGGAAGGGAAAGGAGTTTGTAAGCCGCTCTGAGACTCCTTCGGGTAGTGAAGGGCGGGGTATAAATCCAATCTCTTCTTCTTGCTCAACTACCTGATCCTTAACTGACTTGCAAGTTTTGTGTTTATTAAAGTTTGCTGCAGTTTTGAAACTGTAAGTATGACTTGCTACCACTTTAAATTCAACATGACTCTTAATAATGTCACCCTATTAGGTCACTAGGAAAATCATAAGGCGATTCGTTTTACCAGATGGCACAGAAAAGGAAGAAGTTGTCATGCAAGGAGCACCCCAGGAGCCCGTGACAGTGGAAGAGGGAGATGAGTACTCCAGAGTCATAAAACGGGTTGTGCTGAAGACTGACAGTGAGCAATCTGAGGTCAGCTTATTTTTGCCTCCCAGTTTTCTTTGACAAGTGAATTTGCCAGAAATAAAAAAATTTATCATTACATGTCCTAAATTATTTGTGTAGCTCCATTGAAATACTCATTTATTTCAATGGCAAGTCTGCATGTGCGGTGTTCATATAAACTGATTCACACATTGTCGAAGTACAACGGCCATATATGTAGTGGAATATTGGGGGCGGGTAAGTGATTTGAAAAGAGGTGGATGGGGCCCTGTGAATGGAAATAATCTTGTAAACTGTTTTTCATCTTCCTCTGGACCACTTTGCTGCTATGGGTGTGAGAAGTACCTTAAGAAAGCTGACAGGAAGATAATAAAAGTCTGGGGTATCTGGAACATCTCCCCTTGGAGGAAATCCACAAATGTCCATGCATAGCATAGGACAGGGCTTGGTAAATCTCGGGTGCTAGGTCACCACAGGGCTTAGAAATTTAATTCTGATGCCTAGTATTTTCAGCAAGGATTTAATGGTTGTGTCTCTCAATGATCCTTAGTAGAAGCACAACGCTTATTGATTTCACGTCTGAATATCTTGTTGCATGACATCAAAATGCCTGTGTGTGACATTCATGTCATTGCTTGTTTGTATGTTAATACTGTTCAGCAGTGATAAATCAATTAATTTCTATACTGGCTCCAATATGCAACAGAATGCAGCTTTCCCAAGCAATAACGAAATTACGAAGAAGTTAAGGTTAGGGTTACAGGTTGGCTTTTTGTTGTGTTCATGATAACCAGGTTACCCTGTGTTTATATTCTGTAGCACTTTTTGTCATAGCTTTAATAAAACTATGAGAAACTGAAGAGTTTAGGATTAGGTTTTCTGCTAGCCATGATTAGAAAATATGACCATTAAAATACAAAATTCTGAATCCTGAAAAATGAGTCCGGCTCCTAAAAATTTGGGCTGGCTTGTACAGCCAAAGATTGAACAGGAGCAGGAAAATATAAGAAGACTGAACAGACAGGTTTTGAGTACCGTTGTGTCCTGACAACTGCCAGTAGACTAATTCCCTCCCTCTTTCCTAGTGTTGCCTAGCAACTGATTGGCTCACTCCCCAGTTCAAAATACTCAACTTATCTGAGACCTTAAGGCTATTTCAGTTGTATGCAACAATCAGAATAAAAGGAATGGGGTGTACAGGTAGAAAATACACAGGACCAAATCTGACATATGCCTGATAGTTTTAGAGGGTGATCGTGTTGGTCTGCAGTGGAAAAGCAAGATTTCGGTCCAGTAGCACCTTAGAAACCCAACAAGATTTTGGGGATACAAGGTTTCAAGAGTCAAAGCTCTCTTCATCAGATACCGAGGTATCTGACAAAGGGAGCTTTGACTCTTGAAAGCCCAGGGGTCGATTCGGGGAGGATCGTGGGGGATCGCTGTTCCCCCGGGTGAGGTGCGGGGGGCGGGGCACACGAAGCCCCGCCCCCTGCTTCCGGTCGGGGTAAAATGGCGATTTGACGCACCCTGTAAGTGCTCAGGGTGGACGGGTGTTCCTTACAGCAGTTTGGACTGTATTTTCGTCCAACGCGGCTTCCCCCAGGCAGGGGGAATGACTGGCAGGCATCAAGACCCAAGAGAGAGTTGAGATTGGTGTGATCAAGTCTCGGAGGAGGCTTGTATTACACTTTGATCCCCTCTCCCGAAGCAGGCGAGCGCATTCTGGGGGTGTGGCCTTATGACACACTTCCGGTGATGTCAGGGGGTGTGGCATATGCTAATGAGGTATGCTAATGAGTTCCCCTAGCTCTTTTTCTACGAAATGACCCCTGTGAAAGCCTATATTCCAAATATCTTGTTGGGTCCCTAAAGTGCTACTGGGCTTGAATCTAGTTTCCATCTGCTTGGTAAAGGTAGAATCAAGCTAGAGTGAACTGAAAGATTCCTAAAGCAATTTTCTGAAGTGATTGTTCTGTGAGGAAAGCTTTCTAATAAGAAAAACAAATGGGGCCAATATTAAGCACATATTTACATTTAATTTACAATTTACTTCTGTTTAGGATAATAACAGTGCCATCCATTGAAGTCAATCATCTTAGAAGGGATTGGCGTAACACTGGATAGCACTCTTAACCATACAACCAAGTAGCAAAGTTCCCTTTTCTTTATTCACTCCAAACTTTAACCAGTCAGTCAGAGGTCTCTATGAAACCTTTGTTCATCAGGTGACTTTTTCTGAGCCAAGTATTCTGTCTAGCACCTCAGAATTTCAGTCTGAGCCAGTGGAAGACCGGAAAGTCAGCAAAGTTGTGAAGACCACATTAGTGCACGGAGAAAGACTGGAGAAGCATCATGGAGACTCTAGTTTAGCTGCTGATCTGCCCACAGCCAAAGATGACTTTGAAGCGGTAAAATAGTCTCTCTTTTTTTGTCTGTCTGAAAATTCTGCATGGAAATATTCATGAATGGGAAGAATATATTCTCTCATGTACAGAAACAACTGAAATGAAAATTAATTAAAATTAACATTATTTTAAAAATTAATTGGGAAAGGTTTTAAAATCGTCCATCACCTACCTTCTTATTTTCACCTTGGGAGCTTCTCCATTTTCACAGCAGACAGGCCTCAATACCCACTAAGCAAACTCACTGGACATTGACACTGAAGTACCTTTGTTTTGTCATCTGAGGTCCCACCCACCCCAAAATTCATCTCTGGCTCTGGCTCTCACTCAAAAGAATACTTTCTTCTTTGCCAAATGGAGTTCCTTTCTAGTTATGAGTACCATACACTTGGCAGGTTTCCAGCATTCCTCTCCATGCCTACAGCCCCAGTCAGCCCCAGAAAGATCATTCCCAGGATCGTGAGACTTGTCCCACGCAGGTTGGAGGGGGATGGAGTGAGGAAGGGCCAGGGGGTAAAATCATTCCTCCTCCCTCTTCCACAAGCACAACTCCACCGGGGAAAGAGCTTGATTTCCTCCCCTTGTCCTTCCTCATTCTAGCCCACCAGCCCAAATGGCTATTCCTCTGCACGTATCCTGTGGCCTGAGGAATGATCCTTCTGGGTGTTGGGAGGGGCTGCAGGAAAATATATGAATGCAGGAAAACTTCTGTGCATGGATGACCCCCTGTGTCAAATATGTCTGAATAAATGATGGTGGTGATGGAAAGTGCTGTCAAGTTGCAGCCAATTTATGTGGCCCCTGTAGGGTTTTCAAGTAGGGTTGCCAGGTCTGGGTTGGAAAATACCTGGAGACTTTCGGGGTGGAGCCAGGAGAAGGTGGGGTTTGGGGAGGGGTTGGGCCTCAGCACAGTACAATGCCATAGAGCCCACTTTTCAAAGCAGCCATTTTCTCCAGGGGAGCTGATCTCTGTCAGCTGGAGATCAGTCGTAAAAGCAGATCTCCAGGCCCCACCTGGAGGCTGGCAACCCTATTTTCAAGGCAAGAGATGAACAGAGGTGTTTTGCCTTGGTGTTCCTCCACATAGTGTTACCCTGCAAGGCAGTTAATGTGCTCTTATGGACTTTATAGCCCATAAGTGATAAAGTGGACTGCGCAAGCAATGTGTAAATAGGGACTGAACTGTGTGGTAACCCAAAAATGATGCCAGCTAGACACACACCCAGAAGCAGAAAGCTTTCCTGTATGTTGTGCCAATGGTTCCTGGAAGTTACCTGCCCTCTTGCCTGCTGTAAGATGGACCAGCTCCCTAGCCATGTGATGCACTGTAAACCCAGAGAGAAGACCAGAAACAAAGGGCTCCAGACGCCATAAGGAGCTCCCTCTGACGCACGCAGGCGACCCCCTCCCCACACACACACCCATACATCTACCTGCAAGACTGCATGTAACCAAGAGGTTCTACACATGGTTGCTTGGAAACTAATCTCTCGCCCATCAACAGGCTCAGCTAAGCCCATCAAGAAACAATAGCCTTAGCTCGGTGACTCATACCCTCTTCATCCAGGTGCCACTCTCCAGTCCAAGTTAGTAGCTCTCAATATTGACCAATCCCTGTCCCCACCCCTGGTTCTTTGTACCCAATAGGTGTGTTTTTGGGACGGACTAGTAGGAGATGGGCCAAGACATGTGACCAGCCTGGCTCAACCCCCCAAGCCCCCCCCTTAAAAGGGACACCCAGCCATGTGCTTGCTCTCTTGCTCTCTCTACACCCCCTCAACGTCCTCTATACTCTCTGCCTCTTGGACTTGTGGCTATCTCGGCACCCTCCTTGCCTTAAGACTCTTGGACTGCAGCCAGAGTCTCCACATGCTTTCTGCTGGTTCAGTCTGCACGCTCCCTTTTCCTAGCATAATCCCCATTTTTCTAGAATTCCCCTATTTTTCCATTTGGAAGACTTCATCTCTTCAGGATCAGGTAAACCAACGAACGAACCTCCTGCTAATGCGAAAGTGCTATCCCAATCTCTCTAAGTTTCTTAGCCCTGTATAATTGTGTGTGTGTTTGTGTAATGTTTGAATGTGCAGAAAATACAGTAAAAGACATTCATTTAAACTAATATCAGCCTGCTTGTCTGTTACTGATTCTCTGGAGAAGTGGGACCTCTGTATATAAAGGTGATTGCTCCCTTATGCCAATTGCTATTTATAAATAACTCATGTTCCCCAATAATTAATACGAAATAGAGCAATTTGGCTAACAGTAGCATCCCTGGACGGTGGCCTCCCATCCAAGTACTAACCAGGGCTGATTCTGCTAAGGTTCTGAGATCAGGCTAGCCTGGGCTATCCAATGACAGTGGCTGTGTAATAAATTTTCATTCAGGCTGTGGACCTGAGCAAAGCTTTATAAAGGGCCACCCTGAGAAGGTGTAGGATCCATAACTGTCTGCACACGCACAGTCTCTGATGTGGCTCCTTCCTTGTGGAATGGCCTGCATGAGGATGCCAGGAAGGCTCCCACATTTCTGTCACTCTGCAAACGATGCTAAACCAAGTTCTTTTTCATAAAACCGTAGTAAAATAGAATGGTTCAGGAGGGTACTTTTATAAAGGGAACAGGGAAGTAGTCTTTTCCACTGTTCATTGTATGTATTATGTTGCTCTTATTGCATTGATTTCTACCTTTATAATCCCATGTTTTTGTGTTATTTATGACATAATTTTGCATTGTTTCTGATTTTTGTAATCCTAGTCCCATTGCATTGCTCATTGGATGTTTCATCCTGTTTGATTGCATTGCTTTACACTGTGTAATCTGCCTTGAGCTGTCAAAAAATCCAGGTTCTAGAATGTTCAGTGGCAGAATCCAGTCTCCACAATCTGAGATGGGTAATTCTGGAGTGAGAACATCTAAGGGGAAAAATCAGTTTCCCTGAATATCTTCCTGAGCAGAACCGGGCGTTCTGTCTGTCTCTATTAAAAATGCTACAACATATTAGCAGAATTACTCTGCCAGGAGAAACACTTCTCTTGAAATTTTAGCAAAGTCAGAAAATTCCTGTGTGGTTATTTGTTCCCCTCCACTTTCTGGAACTAAATTTTGTCCTTAGCCATTAATTTTATCAGGATACTCCTGAAAACAGATGGTTATATATTTTTGTTATTGGTTCAGAGGTTCTTTTGGTATTTCAGTAGCTTGAAATAATTATGCCATGTTCCTAGTCTGTTGTGCTAGGGTTTGTTTTGTGTTTTTACTTCAGGCCCTGATTTATACAGGTAACAAAATGAAAATTGAAGTTCCCCCATTAGTAGAGAATGAGGTCACAAAAGAGGATGGCTCAGTTATTAAAAGGTTTGGGTTGGCATGGAAATGGACTATTTAGTGCAAAAGATTAACAAACTAACAGAAACAATAATGACAAGTGAAATAATGTCTACCTGATTTCAGCATTACTTACAAGTCTACTAAACCATTTATGTTAACAGAGTTTGCTTAAAGGAAGTAAAGAAGTGCTTTCGAAATAGCTAGGGCTCCTGTGTATGAAGTATGCAATAATAGAATCTTAAAAAGATTCTAGAAAGATCTCCATGGTTCGTACATATCACAGAAATAGGAGAATACTCCTTGTTCAAAAATATTTTTTTATATAACTGATTCAATTTCCTGTTAACACTATAAGGCAAATAAAAGATTTAAGCAAAAAACATGTTCTGGAACAATGCATACTATAATACAATAGTATGGAATAATAGTACTGGCCTGCCGATTTAAACTATAATCTTAGGCAGAGTTTGACTTCAATATACTTGGAAGGATGTGACTCTATTTAGGATTGTATTACAAGATGCTGAGATTGGTGAGTGGCATCTTTTTAGGAGAAGGGAGAAAGTATACCAAATTGCCTCTCCAAATTTAGAACGATGAACGATTCTCCTGATACTTTTCTGTTTGAAACCTTTATCAGAAACATCCCTTTAATTTTGCTTCTATAGTATTAATTCCTGTACACTCCATGCTCTAGCAACATGCCAGCTATACCTGAGCTTTCTTTATAATACTGCAGATGAAATATCACTTTAATGAAGACCAAAAATTGAAAGCAGTAATCCACAGTCCTTCTCATATTCTCCAGTCTGGCATTGGTTTCAAATCGATATATAGGATTGATGAAATTCTAAGGAAGACACACTGAACCATAGCCATACTGTCAGTAGTGTGGGCAAATGCCTTTGTGCTCTGCAGCAGTAGGCATGGATACCAGCGCTTCCTCCTAAGGAACTACACATCCCATTTTTTGTTAGTTTTTGAGCTACAGCTCAGCATAACGTTTTGTGGTACAGGAAAAAGCAGTCACCTTACAGTTGTGCTCTGAAATGAAAATGCATTGCAATTGATTGATTGATTGATTTCAGATATTTTTGATCTACCTTTGCACCAAATTAAGGCCCTCAAAACAAATCAAAGCATATCATGGCACCAATATGTAAAGATTTAGAGAACTAATTTCCATGTTATTTTTTGAAGTGAAGTCTCAAACCAGGGCAGGTCATGAGTTCTCATGCAGTCCTCTTTTCCACCTCCCAGCAGGCATGACACAACAAATTAGAGTGAATTGTATTTATTTGTACCTCCCCAGTCTGGAGAGGGAGGGTCACACATGTGCCTGAGATTCATACCAGTTTGAGATTTCTCCCTAATGTATGAACAGAGCACACAGAGGTCAAAACAAAGTAAGGATGGGAACTGCTTAGGTTACTGGATTTTACAGAGACTTCGAGAGAAGCTAGTGTAGATAATAATGTTCACTTGTTATGTCTCCTAGGTACCTGCTAGACATATTGAGATGTTTACCACACGCAACATAAAAATTCAGTAGCAAAGCCCTGTTTGACAATCCATTTTTTTTTGTTTCACTATGCTATTTACTAAGCAAATTTAAAATTATGGCTAGAAAGAAAAACCCCTACAGAATATGGACTCCTTCTCCTAGAACTGTCATTTAGCCAAAAACTGGTTCCATATTAGACCACATGGAAATGTTTCTGAGCCAGGTTTGTGTGTGTGCATGCACATATTGTATTTCTAATCAAGTTGTAAATACATGCCAAGGCTAGATGTTGTTGAATATGCATATTTGCTTCCAATCATTATTGTGGCATCATATTGCTTCATTTTTAATGAAGAGGCAAAGCATGCGTTCTACTCCGTGCAGCAAATTATTAGGGAAGATCTGATCTTTGGTAACGTGAAGCTGTGGAAACAAGTCTCAATTAGTTTACTATTTTTAATTCTTGGAACTGACTAGTCTGAATCCAAGCATGTTTTGTATCATCTCCAGTCCTTAGGCATCTGCAGCTATAATGGCACCTCTGAACAAAGTCTGCAAGCAATAATTTGCTGATAAAAATGGAAATTAAGTGTTTAACTATAGTTAAGGACAAGGCTAAGAGATAGGTGACTGTCTTGAGATTATGATCCATGGCCCTGATCCAGAGATGTGCAAGAACTGCACACAGCTGCATTTTATGGTACTACAGAGATTTTGAGGTTGAGAGAAAAAGCAGATCCTAGCCCCACTGAGGCTTTGTGGGAGCTGGCAAAAGGTTCTGCCTCCTCCAGTCTCCTCATACCAAGTTATCACTGTCATAGACTTCACTCCAAAGCATCTCAGGGCAGCCATCACATGCCTGGTACAGGAGAAAGTGTAAGAGTGTTGCACGCAGAGCACAAATATATCAGTATTGTCAGGCAGCTGCCTGGGGTCCCAAGAGTGCCCATGGCCAAGCTCTGGACCATCCTGGACATCAGTAGGTTATAGTCATCACTTCCTGTTCTCTCTCTGTGGGCAGTGGCAAGGTCAGTGAGATTGGTCTTTCTTTCCTCCTTTGATGAAAGCAGCGGGTGGTTGCTCTTCTGTTTCCCCTTGCTGCATAGCAGAGAGCAGAACAACATCATATATACCAGAGGGAACTCCAATCCTGCTGTCCCCACCAGAGTTCCCTAAGCTGAGTTAGTGTGAGCTAGCTCACAGGTTTTTAGGCTCCGGCTCACACATTTCTGTCTTAGCTCAGGAAGGAGGGCTCCAGAGGAAACCAATTTATGCAGTGGCTAAATCTCTTGCTCACAACTTTGATGCCAGGAGCTCACAAAATAGAAATTTTGCTCGCAAGACTCCACCGCTTAGAGGGAGCATTGGTCCCCACCACTGCTGCTGCCAGGAGAGAGGGGCACAGGAGAGCAGGTAGCGGCAGCTGCTGTTCCAAAGTGTCATTGCTCTTTGCTGATGTAAGTGAATGAGCAAGCAAATGGCAATGGCATCTAGAAGTAGCCATCACTCACCTAACAGTCTAACCATTTCTGAAAACATTGGAAAGCTATGTGGGAAGAGCATTTTGTTGATTGTGCCCAAGGATAGTAGCATATATCCTAATGGGTGACAGTTAGTCAGCACTTAGAAGAGAGAAAGCAGAAATATTTCACACAATTATCACGATTCAAGATTTACCACACTGGAAGGGCTTGCATGGTTTTCAAGAGGTAGTTTAATATCTGTGTACAGGGCCATTATTGTTATTGACAACTTCCAGGGCTTTTTTTGTAGAAAAAGCCCAGCAGTAATTCATTAGCATAATAGGCTACACCCAACAGCACAAACTCATATATTAGGCCACACCCCGACAGCGCACCTCATTAGCATATTAGGCCACACCCCGTGCCTTCGCTTGGCTTGCCGGGGCGCCCTACAGCTGTGGGGCACCCGGGAAAGCCCCCCCTTGGCTTGCCTATGTGCCCCATGGCTGCAGGGAGCCTGGGCAAGCCGACCCTTGGACAGGCCAGGGAAGGCACAGGGAAGCATTTAAATGGCCCGCCCGTCTCGGAGTCGCCAGTGGGGTTGCTCTCCAGGCCTTCCCTCTGTAGCCACACGCACAGAGGTTTTGGCTGTAGTGGGCGTGGCCAACTCTGAAGCCAGCCGGAACTCCGTTCCTGTGCGTTCCTGCCCCAAAATAGCCCTGACAACTTCCATGCAAGTTTATTGCACCAAAACCAACAAAGGGTCTTCTGGCATCTTAATGATTAAATTATTTACTGGGGGCATAATGAACTGTGTTACAGAGCCTCTTGGTTGTATTCTTAATTATCAGTTTGTAAACTCTGAGTGTGAAATCTAGGGATTAAGGCTGCAGCAGTGAAAATCCAGTGCGATGGATGAATTCAGAACAATTTTTTGGTTACTCACACATGTATGTAGCATGCTTTTGGGTTGCTGTGAAAGATAGCTACAATCACTTGCGTTGGTTCTGCTATAACTCAAAACTTATGCTGGAATTCTAAATCATTCAAAATTTTCATTTCCTTCATAAATTCTATTTTTATCCCCCCCCCCTTACCCTTTCCTTTTTTGGTAGGACAACAATGAGTAAAGCCAGTACACAGAAGAGGACTGTGGTTAAGGACCAGTTTGGTAAACGTGTTCACGTGGAAGTGCTGGAGGATGTACCAGAAGCACTACCCCGGGATGACCTTCAGCATGACCTTCAGCAACTGCTAAGACGTTTCTGCAAAGATGAGTGGAAGCAAGAGGCCAAATGAGATGCTGCTAAGTCTCACCTGCAGACCAACACACATATCCATTCGATATCCACCATCCACTTCCTTCTTCCACCATAGCTGTCATAAAAATGTAATCACCAGGAAACACTGGCATTTCTACTTAGGGCATATATAGTTGAATAGATTTTTCCCCCTTTTTTTTCCTTTTCCTTTTTTAAAAAATATCTGTAAGCTAATTTGTGACCAAAGATAGCATCCTTTGTTAGGGATGGTTTGTCTACTAAAAGTCGTCGACTTTGTGCTGTACTGGAAACTTGTCATCCTGCCATCTTTGCTGTTCCTTTGCTTCTGCACCAGATTCATAAAAGCTTCTTCCACAGGCCTCTTCAACTGACAATGTACATGATTTTTTAAAGGGATGGTAACATTACCCTGTAAATAGCTAAAGTGCTTGAACTGGTGAGACTGAAAGAAAACACTGCCTATCATGACTACTTTTAGCAGCATGGACTGCAAGGTCTGTTGAGACTGCTGAAGAGAAATTGATGTATTATTGCTAACACAATCCACTGAGTATAGGACATGGACCTACCAAGAAGGAAGCATGTCAGGCCTCCTGTGTCCCTAGGACTTCCAACAACGATCTACCATGGTTAAAAAGTTTCTAAGAGTCAGGCTGAAACCTCAGACTCTAGCTGTTTCCATTAAAGATGGCTGGACTGTGGCCATCACCCCCTTTCTGATTCCTGGAAAACCACCTAAAGATTTCCTGAAGGAAAATAAATACCCAGTTAGATATAACTTGCTAGCAGCTATATCTGTGGCACATTTTGCATACTGTATTCAAATATTTTAGAATGGGATTATGAGGCAGGGTGTATTAAACAGTTCTAACTACTGTAGTTTCCTTTCTTCATCACTGCTTTAGCAAACCACACTTACTGTGGTACTTTCTGCTGGCCACTGCACTGTAGATAACTTAAGAAGGGGAACAAAACCCTCACCCACTCGTTGAGAAATGTTACTCTAAATTTACCACATTCTATCAAGATTGCCTCTTACCTGGTACATGCATGTGGCATTGAAAAATAGAAACACATCCCTCTTGTAATCATGTCCACAGCTTCTCATCCCTCTTAGCACTGAGCAATCAGATTTTATCCTTCCATTTGAGAGGTTTGAGGTGTGGGGTTTTTTTTCTTTCTTTCCATTAAAGGATATGAATCCATTGGGCATTTGACAGTTGTTGCTCTTTTTATTTATGTCTCTGAACTAACTTTTGAGAATCACCATGTAAATGTCTGCACTTTGATTTTTCCAAGAAGGGTATCTGCGACTCTGGAATAATTCTGTGGTCTGTTCCTAATTCTGATAGTGGTTTGAAGCTCTGTAGCATTTTAACATTATATATGTAATTATATATATTATATATATATACATATAAAACAATATACATTTTGAGTCAGTTATTTGATAAAGACAAAGTATATTCAACAAAGATGAGTCAAGTCCTCCAGGGTGGATATTTTTCAAAGCCTAGCCAGTCTTTCCTTCGTGCAAAAATAAAACTCACTCAGTGCTCAGAATACTGAACACAAATGGCAGCCTCCTCATTAAAATAACCTCTATGCCAACAGAAAAAAGGAGCACTCCAGGCAGTTTGGTTTCCCACTAAGAAAGCTACCCAAAGTGCCCTGCTAATTTTCCCTTCTTCTTTCTGTTTGGCTGGCAAGCAGGAGGCAACCCCTTGTGACTGCCAAAAGGGAAGGAGACTTGTTTCAGGACACACAATAGCTCATTCCTCATTGTCAAGAACATCACTGGTTGACCTTCAAGAACGGGGCTCTAAAAGAAACGCATTTCTGTTGTGTTATTTGCAGTGCAGATGATGTTCTGTGTAACAGCATAATGGCTATTCTCCTTTTTCAGTTTTGATTTTCTTTTTGCCGTGTTATCAGAGAACTTGAATACTGTGAGAAGAAGTGATTTTAAGTTGATGAATCAGCATCTTGTTCCCATGGTGATAACACTAACTGAATATATCTATGAGGGCATGTATTAGTTAAAAGTTTTAAAAAACAAACCAACAAACAAACCAAGAACACTAACAATACATAGCTGCAATGTGTACAATGGCTGATTTAATTAAATAAAAATGTACAAGTGTTAAATGTAGCACTAATGGTATGTTCTTTTTTTAATAACAGTTTGACATAGAAAATTTACTTGGATTCTGCTAGCATCGAAACAGCAATCCTAGCAATGCTGTCGTTAAGTAATTGTAATGTACATTGATTTTCATTATTCTGCATACCTTAAGAATCAAATCACTTTAATGACCATGAGAAATTATAGGCAATATTTTTCATGTACGGTTCAAGAAGAAATGGATATTGCAGGTCAGTGTGTTACTCTTTTCTTGGGAGGGATCTGTTGCTCCATGCTTCCTTTGTGCTTCAGTTATTGACAAATCCTTTTATAAAGATGGTGATATCAACTTGCATGACAATTGAGGACATTATCCTCTACAAATACATGGTTTCCAAGAGATATACTATAGTGCTTGAGGCTACTGCCTCTGCCCATATACCAGTTCCCACTTTCCATGACTGGGGCCAGATTCATAAGTAAAATGAAGGGCACAGGAACTCCTTGAAGACGGAATCACAGGGGCACTCCTCCATATAGGAAGCTGTTTATGCATAAATGACTCCTGTATAGCTTGGTTTAATTCATCTGCACCTTGCTGGGGGCACAGTGTTTGGCATGGTTAAGATTGAAGGACACAGGGCCTAAGATCTGCCCTAGCAACATAAAGTATCAAGGAAGTTAACATGAGCTCAGAAAGCATTGTTCTACATTTTGACCCAATCCCACAATGTCCATATTTCCATGAAATGCCACCATTTAAAAAATTTTAATATGAAATGCATACCTTAGAATGACTATCTAGCTTATGTTCTATGAAATCAGGACGTCCCATGAAAAAAGTTGCAAATTTGTGCTATTCTTGTTTTTGAAGAGGACCCATTTTCCCCAAGATAATATAAACACCTTACCAGAAATGTACAGATTGTGGAGGAGTAATATAAAGCATTAAGATTCCTTAAGGATTTAAGTGATGTACACTTGGTTATATTTTTTATTCTTTATTTATTATTTCGACTTATATCCCACCCTTCCCACAAGTTTTCAATTGGCTGATAGTATTAGCCAAATGGAATAATGTTGCAACTTTCTAATACCTGTGTCATGGACAGTAGACAGTAACCCAAATAACAGCAAGAGCAGTCCAGGTAGAAAGAGATTTCTGTGAGCTGAACTTCATGGGCTTAGTCCAGGCATGCTTGTTCCCCAGTTTCCAGTGCACCTGAGAAATTATAGGGGATTGGCTATCGAGCCCCAAGACCTGAATGAACCCTGTACTTCACAGTCATTTGTTGCCCTTGACATTATCTGGATGCCTAGATCAAGTTCCCCATTTCTGCTGACTTGAAGCAAGAAGCCTCTGGCCTGACCCTTGAATAAGAAGTATGGGTCATAGCTCAGTAGCTTTGAATGCACAGCATCCCAGAGCCAGTTGTGGGCATCTCTAGTTAAAAATGTCTCAGGGCTGGGAAAGACCCATTTCAGAGACCTTGCAAAGCTAGGGAGGAGGCTGTGGCTCAATTTTTACAATAAGACTAATTTTTACAATAAGAGTAATTCAGCAGTAGAATTGGCTGCCTAGGGAGGCGATGAGCTCCCCCTCACTGGCAGTCTTCAAGCAGTGGCTGGATGAACACTTATCAGGGATGCTTTATGTTGATCCTGGATTGAGCAGGGGGTTGGACTAGATGGCCTGTATCACCCTTTTCAGCTCTATGATTCTACTGCCAGTCACAGTACACAATGATGGATAGCTCAGCATCAAGCCGCTCCCTATTCTCATGAGTCACCTTTCTGCTGGCAAACAAATATTTGCACAATACTTCACCCTCCCCACCTGCATATCAAATGTATTGGGTGTATATTAGGTATTTGTTACTTGGCAAATATGATTAAGCAAAGGGTAAAAACCTGCAGATTCAAGAGCTATACCTTTATAAACAGACACATTATTCTAATTGATTCGGAAGAAAAAGTTAAAAAGCAATAGATAAAATCTAATGCTAATGTTGATAATGGGAAAGGAGCAGTAGGCCTGGAAAAACACACATACACACACAGCTGGGCTGTAGATTAGTTGCAACCCCTCAGGCAAAGAAGATGAGTCATTGTGGATGAGCCCTTGACAACGGCTGCTCCAATAGATCACAACAGAAGGCACAAGAAAGAAGACTGGGAAGGAACCACAGAGAAGAGATTACAGAGCTCCTGTTCTGTCGGTTGTTTTCAGTTCTCAGTTCAGCTTTACCCATCTGTTCTGTAAGCAGAACTGGAAAAGTCATTAAAACGTAAAAGCTGTTCAACAATTTACCTGTAAGAAGATGCATCCATTATAAAAGTGAAGATAGGGTTAAGAGAGCACGGTCCAAATTCAGAAATTATTTGGCAAAAGGAGCATGGTCCATTCAGTAATTACAGTAATTTCTAGTGGGTAGCCACATTAGTTTGCAGTAGAAGAGCAAGATTCGAGTCCAGTAGACCCTTAAAGACCAAAATGGTTTCCAGGGGAGAAGCTTTTGAGAGTCAAAACTCCCTTTGTAAGATTCTGTATCTGAAGAAAAGGGAGCTTTGACTCTCAGAAGCTTATACCCTGGAAATCATGTTGGTTTTTAAGGTGCTCCTGGACTCCAATCTTGCTTACAGTAGGAACGGCTGGTGCACAGCCTGGTAATGCTCTACGGAGGGCCACATTGCACAGGAGATCCATGACTGGTCTCTCAAGCTTTTCTTTCAGTAGCTGGACAGCAAGAGCTTTCGACCAACCTTTTCTTATGTTTTCTTGACCAAAATCTCTTTCCCCAGTGGCTGTTTGCCCTTTGAGGGGGGGAAACAAGTAAATGCATGACACTGTACAGTATTTAACATCCCACAGTTAACGTTTTATCAAGCATATTTGTAAAGACAAAATCCATCAAAGATGAGGTCTGTTTGGATAGCCCAGGCAAGCCCGATCTTGTCAGATCTTGGAAGTTAAGCAGGGTTGACTCTGGCAAGTACTTTGGATGGGAGATATCCTTGAAATACAGGAGGCGGGGGCAGGCTTTATTCAGCCACCTCCCTGAATATCCTCCAGACCCCCAGTAGGGGTCAGACACCAAAGGTCACACACACACACACACACACACACACATCTGAAAAATACAAAAAAAGGACTAGATCTGTTGCCCAATTAAGGAAATGCTTGATGAGTCATTGTATTCATTGTAATGCTTGATGAGTCAGTAAAACTCTGTTTACGTGTGTGCAAAGTGCCTCAAGTCATAGTCAATTTATGGCAGCCACCAAATCGGATTTTCAAGGCCAGAGGCTAACAGAAGTGATTTACCATTGCCTGCTCTGTATAGTGACCCTGGAATTCCTTGGCGATCTCCCATCCAAATATTAAGCAAGGCTTTTGAGATCTGATTAGCTTTTGAGATCTGATTAGCCTGAGCCATCCAGGACAGGGCAGTAAAATAATACTGCTGAAGAAAGAAGTGAACAAAGATCATCTACTACAGCTACAAAAGTTGTTTTAGTTCCACAACCAGGTCTGAAGCCTGATTGAAAATGGATTGAGGGCCTCTGGGCAGGAAAATCTAATAGCATGCAGGTACCCACTCGGGTAAACTTCACCTAAAAACAGGACATTCTCTATTGCCAGGGAATATTTCTTAAACTATTAAAACTACTGTTCCTGAGGACCTATGCAATGGATTTTATTAGGGGATGTAATTAATTTACTGCAAGCCACCAACTTCCAAATTATTATGTAAGGACAATTATGTACAAATATTCAAAGACTAACTTTCATCTGTAATTAATTTACTGCAAGCCACCAACTTCCAAATTATTATGTAAGGACAATTATGTACAAATATTCAAAGACTAACTTTCATCTGTGCAAGACCTTTTCCTTAAAGAGTGTTGAGCTTTTGCAGTGGGGATGACTGATTCTTGTTCATGTTGGCATATTTTCTCATGACAACTTCAGTCATACAAAGCAAGTGACAAACATTCAAATTGCCCCTATTTTTATTTATTTATAATTTATTTATTACTTTCGGCTTATATTCTGCCCTCCCTGCAAACAGGCTCACAGTGAATGACAACAAAAGTTAAAACATTTCACAGTAAGAATTAAAACACTTCATTAAAA